CCCATTCTGATCCACGCGTGCACGAATTGACGGTCACCCTCTACCACTTCGAGATCCACATCCTCCTTCCAGAGAATCCAAATACCCCCCGAGAACCCATGAGCCTCGACTCGGAAGGATCGAGCATACCCACACCTACGAATAAAGGTATCTGCACGTACACCACTGATTCGTGGCTCAAACAACGCAAACACATCCGAATTAGACTGCTGCTTGAGAGCAATAAAGGCCCTCCGGAAAGCATCAGACGCCGCACCCCTTACATTCTATGAGACAAAATTCATCATTAAACTCGAATAAAAGGACTGGATAAACGCATCTGTTAGACAGAGCTGGGGACCTGAGTCCAGCCATCCTCCTCGAATCCATATCCTGGGCAGCAACCTACGAATCTCCGCCGGGCTCAGGGTGAGGCCGAGCCGAACGGAACGAAGACCCCCCGGGGGAGGTCGATTTATCTACCACCATACCAGAATCGCCAGGATCTAATAACTCCACCTCCTCAGCCGGAGGACATAGTGACAGAGGGTCTACCACTTGAACCACCTGATGTCTAGTTGAATCCAAAGTAGAAGTCACCGGCACAACGCACTGACCGGCGAGATGTTGATGGCCTACCCCCGACGACAACTGCAACGAGGACTCCCGACCCTTCGCCCCCTGTGCGTTCAGGTCCTTCGTACCCTGAGCCACAATACCCGGAGCCACCTTGTCCCTGGTCCCTAGATGAGTCCCCGACGATTCCCCGGGACTCCCACGAACCGCGCGTTGGTTATGGCTCCCTTGCCCTTTCTTCGTTTTACCCGAAAAAGCTCGCCATTCCGTTACCTTCCCTTTATCAGCCCCAGGGTGCCCGAAGAAAGGTCCGGTGTGCTCGGCTTCAAGCCAAAAGAGAATACGGGCTCTGTCGCCCGGTGAGGTGGAAGCTCCTCCTGTCCGTCATATCGGAGAATGTCGAATCGCGACCCATTATCACCACCAGAGCCCGACTGCTTCGGGCCAGACCCTTTGTCCCCCTTTCCTCGCCCATTAATCAGTCGGTTCCTAGTTTTTGCAACAAGCCAGGGACCATACACTCCCGCATTGCCCTCGACAGTTGAAGACGTGCTAGTCGATCCACCCACATCCATGCCTTTCGGCTCCTTGTGAGCAGGGCTGTGATTCACACTGTCTGTAGACCCTCCATCCCCCGTGCTAGCACAGGACCTGTCCGGGCAAAGATCCGCGGCATGGCCATATATGCCACAACGAAAGCAGATATTCGGAAGGAACTCGTACTCCACGCGCTGGACTTTTCCACGAATCGCGAAGCTTGCACATAAGGGCTTACGTATACCCAACACCACCGCTAGTCGAGCATACTTGCCCCTGGATTGGGCCGCCGTTTGGTGGTCCACCTTCACCACCTTGCCAACTATTTCCCCGATCATCCGAAAGACTTTCTTATGGTACAGGTGGACCGACATACCCGGCAACCGAATCCACGTCACCAGCGAGTGGATTTGATTACACGAGGCATCAAATTCATCAGTCCACGGTTGAACATGAAGATAGAACTTCTGATACTGTTTAGATACTACCCATTGACCACCAACAAGCACACGTTCTGCATCTGCCTGAGTATTAAACCGAATTTGAAAATAACCATTCTCCAAATCGACCATGTCACACCCATTCATGAAAGGCCACATCACACACAACTTGTTATATAAGAGGGCATGGGAAAGTGCCGCACCCATGACCTTGATCACCACCACATTCCTCCAAGAAAGGAGTAGCGACTCATAAAAGCTCGCTTTGAGACGAATATCCGGTAACGGGCCTTGGCGGTCAATAATCACATCATCCTGTGCATCGTCGCCCTCATCATCATAAACCAACTCAACATGAGCTCGATCCCTATCAACCATATCCCGAAAACTCAACGCCCCCAACCCCATTGCAGAATTGGACATGGGCTTCTCTAGGTTAATATCCACCGCACTGCCATCAAGGATGTCATGGACCCTCGATCTCTTCAGCAACCGTGTGTTCTCCAGCAAAGGCGAGACAACCTTATGCAACGTGGTGAATTCGAAATTATTCCGTTCCGGAGGATCGGATTTCGGGTCGTCCGGCGGGGCACGGGCAGGCGCCGACGAAGACGTAGGGTTTTCTGTGTTTGACATAGTTTCGGTCCCAATATTTCATCTGTTTTTGCTATATTTATCTTTACGCATTCATAGAGAAAATCAACAGACCTAACAATCACACATCTTCATTCTCAAGTTTTTTTATCTGCATCTTAATCACTATTGACTTCTCGACTTCAACTTTGCTCACGTAATTTTACTTGTTGACATCCTTCAAATAAGAAATATATAATCGAAACAACTTAAAATCTTGTATATTAAAAGAAAAAGTACTAATAATTAATTACAACAAAAAAAATTAAAACAACCTACGATTATCTTGGATTTTCACAAAAATGAGTCGATCAAAAGGGTGACATCCTTTTATTGTGATTATAACCTCATCTAGTAAAAGAAATTGTTAAAAAAAATATTTTCGTATATATAGATAATAGGAAAAGAAAATATTAATGTTAAATATTTGCTCATGGCTTAGCACGACATAGTTGCATTATCAGTACAAAAGGTGCTCCTTCGGTTTAATAATTCATCTCAATTGCTTTTAGTTGATAACATATTGCTCCCAAACAGTATATGTCTTAATGTTTCCCCTTAAAAGAAAAAGGAAAATGGCTAATTAGTATATTTAATGGAATATTAATATAAAAAAAATATATTAACTTTGAAGTAAATTAAAAACTTACTAAAAATTCATAGGGACAACACAATTATTTGAGTAGGACTTACCTTCACTTATATGTTGGATCTCAACAACCAAGCCAACATCTATTTAGTATCATAAAGTATTAAAATAATTATTATCAATGCATATGAATCATAAACGGGCGTCACTACAAAAAAAACCTCTTATATTCCAACGGAAATTTTCCGTTGGAATTCTTTATATATCCGTTGGAATAGATATTCCAACGAATATTCCTACGTATAAAAATCCGTAGGAAAAATGGCCGTTGGAATAGCTAAAATCCAACGGAAAATCCTATGGAAATAAATTCCTACAGCTATTCCAACGGAAAAAATCCGTTGGAATTCCTCACCCATCCAACACTTTTTCCAACATAAAATTAATTTTGTTGGAATATTCATTGGAATTTTCAACGGAAATTTTTCCGTTGGAATTTTTCGTTGGAATTGAAGTGTTTTCTTGTAGTGCGTGACAAAACTTGAATTTCAAACACAATTAACTAAAATAATTTGAACGTACCAAGCAATATTGATTCATCAATATTGTCGACAACTTACAAAGTGACAAAGCTCCTAAAGTCAAATCGATACATGGTAAAATCAACCTTGTACTTGTACTGCTCAATCTTGTCGTGAATGATTATTCACCAAGTGGCAATGGTTGATTTTTACAGCCCAATACAGAGAACCCTCCTCGAAATCATTGATGAAAGTTGAAATATTAACCGAATAATACCAGTAATTCGACCACCCTACAAATAATAACTTTGTGCAGCACACTAATACAGTTTTTGTGTAATGTAATTTGACTATAGATATAAAATATACATGAGTAGGCTTTATTGTTAGGCATTACAATGATCCAACACCAAGAAGTCCATCTTTGTTGTATTAACTTATAGAACCAATCCACTAGTTGACTGAAGAAAGATACATCATTTTGAGTGTGTGAAGAAGATATAAATGATGATAATTATATCAAAACCAAAAATTATTTCCATTATTTCGACCCAGAAAGAGATGAGTCGTATGAGATTCGACAACTGCTTCCAGTGTTCTAATATCAGCCACACCGGTATCTGCAAGAATTGAGACATTTATTTAATGCAGTTCTGGAGTGCATAAATATCTCCTAATAAGCCATTGAGGTGAGAGGAAAGATAGGATACTAAATTTTTTTAAAAAAAAAAAAGGTTGAGCAACATGTTAGAGTATAGGTATGCATGAGATGAGGAGAATTTTGCATTTTCAGTACCTTACTATGGCGTCTTTGCCGCCAGCACATACTATGGTTGTGAGCATGTCGTGTGTGGTGTAACTAGGTCGCTGGGATATATTGGGGAACAAAATGTAAAACCAAAAAAATAAAAATAGGTCGATTCAGAAAACAAGAAAGTGAATGCATGCAGGAATAAAGCAAAGTACCTTATTACCATCTGCTTTAAACAGATTACGGAATGCAACACTCAACGAACCCCACCCATCACCGTCTCTTAAATGTTTCATGCCCACTTTGGCAAATGCATTCAGCTGTTCCTCACAGAAAGGGTCAAATAATATCATGAAATCCAACCGATTTAGTAGTTCCGTCCTTAGACCTATCAATCCCTGTCACCCGGCAAACCACTAACTTCAAAACAAATAATAATAATATCTTCAAAGTAAAATGTCTTAAATATCTCTGCCTATCAAATAATAAAAACTGCAAAATTTTTCAGTGTAATTTACCTTTTCACCAGGCAATGAAGTCGAAAACCCGTCCATAGCTTTTGGAGTGGATTTAAAAAAACCAGACAGATCGATTTTCGTATGATGCCCATTAAACCCGCCAATCATCTCCTTATTCCCTAGATGTGAGACGATAACAATTACAGTATGACTAAAATCCACTATGTTCCCGTCTTTATCCTTGGTTACACCTCTTTCAAGAATGGACAGAATTATGCTAAAAGTAGCAACATGTGCCTTCTCCAGCTCATAAAACACAATCACCGAATAAGGGCTTTTCTTAATAAACTCCATAAGCAACAGATGAGGGTTACCAATGTCTGAGCACCTAAATACAGCAGTGTGATTTCAGAAAAAAAGAACATCAAGAAAAACTGTAACTAAGAGAGAGGTTGTTTGACAACCTGAAGAATGATTCAGGTCCCGTGCACAGTGATAAGTCGACTTGAATCATTAACTTTTCCCCATCATCAATCACAAGCTGTTGTGCAAGGCTTTTTGCATATTGTTCCAAACTATTAGGCTTGAGACCCAGACAAAGAAATGACTTGGTAGACTGATCACCATTATTATTTAACTGACTTAATAACACCTCAATGGTGCCACGTGTCGCTCTATCTTCTTTAAGTACCAACGAAGTCTGCAATTTGGTGGACACGAGCTTCAACCACTCACTAGCCTCTATCCTTGTCTCTTGATCACTTGGGGAACACTTGTCGAAAAAGTCCTCCGTTTGGACCTACAATACAGTCCAATATTTTATCTACCAAATCTCTCTCTCTCTCTCTCTCTCTCTCTCTCTCTCTCTCTTTTTTCTTTTTTAAATAGCAGTGTGTAGGGAAATTAAATTTATGATACCTTCTCAAACTTAACAACTTCGTCAATTAGTATAACAATTTTCTCAGACAACTTGCGAATATTGGCATCATTTGTCTCAGACTTGGAGTTTATTTGCTCGAGTAGACAGAAGTAGCTTGCCAAAACCATATATATCTTGTTCACTTGTTGTCTTTCGCGACGGTATTTGCTCCTCAAATGCCGTATACTTTCTTTCAAAATCTGAAACGCGGGATGTTCCTCCAAATGACTAATAGTTTCAACTCTGAAAGAATATTCCCAGGAACCTAGGAATGTATCAATGTATATGATAATCGTCTTATCTGTCACCTTCTCTAGAATATCTCTATTCAACATCTGGACCTTATGGGCTTCATACCATGTCTCATAGGCATGTGCACCTCTCTGAGAGGGAAAATATTATCAGTTATGATCTAAGTTTGTGCAAAATAAAATTTGAAACAGAAAAGGAGCCAGAAATCTTACTGATCAGAATAAGAGACTAAAATGAGGATTGGTTTCCTCTCGAAAGAGCTTACCCAGGCCAAACCCCACAATTTTTTTATGAAATTGGTTTAATTTAAGAATTGTAGTAGCTATTTTTAATGCTATCTTATGTACACATCAAAAAGTTATAGCCCCTCCAGGAAACTCCCAATGCCACCACATTTCCTATAAACCCGGTTAGGGATCGGTTTGCATTGGTTTATAATCTTGATTTTGTCTTGTTTTCCATTGTGATCTCTTTTACTAGGGTGAAACCTGAATCCTTTACCCTTGGCTCTGTCAATCTCTGTGTGACTGTCCGCCCCTGGGAACAACTAGCAAATACCTATAATGACATTTTTGTCCTTGAATAGAATTAGGGAACCCCACTTTAGTGTTATTCAACTCATGAGACTTCCCCTAGGGCCAAGGTTATGTTATATTAAACAATATTTCTAAAGAAAATCATTTTGCAGTTAGAGTTCCTCTGTTATGTCCAACGAATACGTGAACCATTTTACCATCTTAAAGATCCAGAGCGCATTTTCCTACATAAATCTAATAGCCCAAATGCATGTTCTTAACACAGGAGAATTCAATACTATTATTATTCTCTTCCCAAATTAGAAGCATTATCTACACGAGCTAAACAGATTGAGGTTAATTTCTCAAAAAAAATTGTGCTGCTAGAGTGAATGGTTAGGTGATTTACTTTTCATGGGGTAATTATAGTTATAAAACCACCTCAACAATTATTCATGCAGTCATAGAATCCTCAATTATTTTCTGCAAAACGTAATTCAGCAAATTTGAACCAGAATATTGGTGTATGCTCACTTCAAACATATCTGGCCAAGTAGTCATGTAACTTAATGCAGCATCTGTTGGGTACATGATGACTGGAAAGTTGTGTGATGATGTCATGCGCATGGCAGCCTCCCTGTGTTGCAGCCAAAAGATGGTGTAATAGTCCCACGGTCTCATACGAGGGAAAACGAGCAAGTCATCAAAAAGATCAACAAACTCAGCCCTAAACCGTTGAGCAACCTGTCAGAGCAAAGAGCAACACATCAAAAAAGGCCCTTTTTCCCTTTTCATTCATGATGCAACAAAACTAGTATACACAATACCTCAACATAAAAACGGTGAATATCACAGCCATCGAAAGCCTTTCCTGGGTCCAGGTGCATCCCTCGGTGAACAAGTGTGGGCTCTTTCAATATTTTCCGGAAAGGGATTTTTGGTAAAGTTTCATGAAGACATCGACAATGAAAGAGAAACTGATGCCCGACGTGTGACGAGACAATAAGTATGTCAAGCGAGAAATCAACATGGACGCCGTTTTCATCTATCACTCTACCGTCCTTCAATAAACCAACAAGAACCTCATCACAGCAGCTATGAGCATTCTCTATATTATCAAGCATCACAATCTTTCCTCGTCTTTTATCCCTAATAATCAAAGACACAATATAATAATAAGAAAGAATTATCATGGCAAATGATACTGGATTTTTCTTTCTACATTATATTATATATTAAAACCCGTTGAGAGCTGCAATGAGGCGCGAGACACAATCCGAATCCCCATATTCGGACATATCAAGTTTCATAATCCGGCCTTTGTCATCGAAGAGTTCCTCCGCAAGAACTCTCGCCAGCTTCGTCCTTCCACAGCCATGGCGTCCCAGAAAGAAAAAAGAAGCTGAGAATTTCCGAGCCAACAAAGCCGACGTGATCTTCTTGACGACCAAATCATCCAATCCAACTAACCTCTCGGATAACCTCTGCCCCATATTCTCAAGCTTAGTCCTCAGCTCCAAATGTGACTGGAAACACTTCAAGGGAAGACCCGTCTTGGAACTCATCGCCTAAAAAATAGCACGATATCAACGATAAAGATCACGTCCTGGATGGATTCTAACTAAACTGAAACAAGAGAAATAAAATTGACATAACTTGCAGGATATCGAGTTCCAAGACTGCACGTCTTTCGTGAAATGCGATGGGAATGGTTTCCATCAGCCGGTGTGCGGTAAAACCGAGTGGTGGAAGCACCTTAATAAGCTCGTCCACCTCTGCATATTTATTCACACGACCCACCGCATCACGCAATCTTTCTAACAAACCGACTCTTTCTTCAGATTTATGTCTCATCCGCTCCGTCGGGCGAGCCCACTTACGTTTGAAGTCATCCCATTTGTTGGTGAAATCCGCAAACTCTTTCTCAACCTGAATAAATAGCAGTAAAAAGGCAAATAATGGATAAAACAACAGTTAAGAGTCAAAGAAGCTAGCAAAACTTGTACACGAGGCAGCAGGACTGATCGACAAAAAAGGGACTTTTCTTTTCTGAGTTCGGTGGCCTCAACGAATGCGCGATTCAGATAGTACTCGTCCCAATCCAACTCTTTTTCCTCACTGTCTGAATCATAGTTTGTCCTCCACCTCTGGCAAGCGCACTCAATCAGCTCCCAAACATTATTATCCTCAACCATTTTCGAGTTTCCTTCACATTCTGAACATATAATCAACCAAAAACAGATCTCAACTCTTGAAAAAAATGAATTGAAAACATTTACGTAGTACAATGTGACAAAAATTGATACACGCACGTAAGGGCATGGATTTTGTTTTTATTTACGCTGTATATCTGAATAGAAATAAAAGATAAGAAACGGTGTCATACACACACATTATACACAAATCTCAAACTAATAACAATGGAGAACAGGGACGAAACAATTGCATACACAAAAATTCACAAATCAAAAGCGATGAAACATAATAATAACCTAAATTAGATAGACATGAACCTTGAAGAAATTTGGCAGCGAATTTAATGACGGGGTGAGAGAGATGAACGCCATATCTTAATTCCAACTTTCGTTTCTCTGTGATTTTCTCCCCCATCTCGGCTTCGTTGAACCGTTTTCAGTAGAACTCTTGTAATGCACTAGAATTTTTTAATTTTTAATTTCACTTTTTTTAGCGTGGAAATTAGTTCAAATAGCCTACCCTACATGACTATTTGTTTAAATGACCCTTGACCCAAAATAAAAAACAAAACTTAATGAAAAATAAAATTTATAAGACAATCTCTTTTTTACCCTCACTTGTATTGTCATCAATAACTTGGGACTTAGAAAAAAAAAAGGCACAATCGATCGATCTCATTATGCTCTCTCTCTCGCGACGCACCTCTCAACTCTCTCTCCCGCGACGACATCAGCATCTCTCTCTCTCTCTCCCTCGCGACGTCTCTCTCTCGCGACGTCTCTCTCTGTGACACCCGACCCTATGGAGCTCTCTCTCGTCAACTTCGGTACGTATATTTTCAGTTTTTGTCAATTTTTTATTTTATTTAATTTTCATCTTTTTGAGCCTTTGATATTTTTGGAGTAAGATTTAATATGTGTGATGTGAATTCATGTAATTTTGCTAGTTTTGATGGAACTGAAGATGATAAATTTGTGCACGCTATATGTTTGATGAAATGCTTGAGTTGAAGAAATGAAGATAGTAAAAGGTGCACTCTATGTGTTTGATGAAATGTTTGATATGCTACTTGTTGTATACATGGAAGCAATGAAGCTATCTTCGTTATATTTTACACTAAAACGAATATACACTCGTTATTATGAGATAACAATAGTTAATTCTTTTTAGAATATGAGGGAATCCATTAAAAATAACTTAAATTATGACTATAACGAGTAAAATATCTATGAAATAGCGAAAGTATAGGTGTATTTAATCGACCGAGATGGAAATATAAATTCGTTGTGTTGAAAATCATGATGAATTTACTCTCTTTATGGCTATTTTGATTGAATGGTGACATTAGGATGATAGTTTGAACTCGTTAGATAAAAATGATGAGTAATGAAGTTGAAGATCATTTACTTCAATGACTAAAGTTGAATCGTTATAGTTGTATTCGATCAAAAAATAACCATAACGAAAATAACAATAGTTAAAGTAGAAAATCGTTTATTAGTTATGTTGAAAATCATAACCAATGTGTGTGTTATTGATATATGAATGTTGTACTTCTTACATTCAAAATATAAAAATGTGCATGTGATTGTTGTGACTTATGATTGATGTTGTACTTTTTAATTTA